AAAGACAGAACAAAGAAAGAAAAAAAAAACAATGAAAGAAAAAAAAACAAAGAAAGAAAAAAAGAGAAGAAAGAACGAAAGAAAAAAGAGAAGAAAAAAATGAAAGAAAAAAGAGAAGAAGAAAAAAGTGAAGAAAGAAAAAAGGTAAAGAAAAAAGGAAAAGAAAGAAAAAAGAAGAAACAAACAAAAAGAAAAAAAGTGTAATGTAGTGTACATCCGAAGTCAAGTGTCCCCATCCACCAAAGACGCACAGTATTTATATTCTCTTCTCAACACCGGTCTTCCACCGGTGATCACTTCTAGTTCGTCCCGCCTTCCCTGTGGGCCTCTCTACTCTACATACTCCCTTCCTATGACCATAAGGCGTATGAATTGTGGTCACTTGTCGTGACGGTTCAGAGTAATTGTGTGCCGGTCCCCGCATTTGTGGGGATAATGATTTAGATGGCCGTGATATCCTTGTGCAGCGTCACAGCTCATGACTTGCCAGTGGCTGCGGGATAAGGGGGTTGTTTTTCGTCCACTTCTGCATGGTCCTCCACCCCTTCGTCGCCGTCTGTCTGATCTACTTCCATACTTTCCAGTTTGTTGTATGAAGGTTACACACCGGCAAGTAATAGCTTTTGTAGGGGCGGTTGTGGTGTTGAGTAGTGTGGTGTGTCCATGACTGGTACTATTTTTCAAAGGAATCGACGGATTGCTCAGTGTAATTTAGTTGCTGCTGTCTATGCGGACCACGTATTGTCTGCTAACCAATGTTTCTACTACACTCCTTGTCTTCGTCCACTGCCGTGGAAATAGTCCATCTTAGTTTTTCACTTTTACTAATTCGCCAACCTGGTGCTCTTGGAGTCGGGGACTCTAGTTCTGGTTTAGTAGGTGCCAGGTGATCGTCGGTGCATCTATGGACTTCCAGTATCTGCGGCCCACTGAAAAAGGTTTGCGTGCCAATGTCCGCCATGGCGTGGAGGCGGTACACTAAACGGATGGCTAGATCATTCAGGGCATGTCCAAATTTGCTATGGAATTCGGCTATTAGAGAAACCTCTTATTTTCAGGGATGATGGTGGTTCTGGATGGTTCCCTTAGAAACGGCATTTGTCCCATGTTATGTGAGGTACCGTTTGTGACTTCCGTCTCCATCCGCAGGATATCTTACTGCTCCCATTTTCCCCGTTGACGAATATCAATAAACTACTTGCCGATTCCACCGTCTCTGGTTTTCGACACATTATTATTCCACAATTGAAGCACGGTAGCTTAACTGACGGACTTTTCTTGCAACCTCTCAGTTCATTGTTATGTGATATCTTTCTGTAACTTTTTGCACCCATGATGAACATTTAGGGGTACCTTCAACCTGGGTCAACCTCCTCTTTGTAAGTGTGTAGTTGACTTGTTCGTCGTTTCTGGGCTGGCCAACCTGTTAAATTTCTCTTCCATCGTAGTGAGACTGTTACCTTCAATTAGTACCTTATCTTGGGGTTCGGTTTTAGCGAGTCCCGCTACAAATTGACCAGCCACCATATCCTTCGAATAATTGACTCGCTGGTTGCAACTTTCATTCAGACACTGGGTCGTAAATTTGCAGAAATTCGCCAGCTACGGTAACCTCGCTAAGAAACGTGTGAAACCACCTCGCTCTCGTTTCCCATGATGTGGAATATCTTCCTATGTAACTTCCTGCGCAACAAGTGGCAACAAGTCTTATTTGACAAAGGAGATGTTATGTGGCTGTGTTGAGGGTTTCTGTCCCAATAAAGTCGAACAAAACTTTGGTGGAACACGTGGTTCTTAGATGATTTGGGATGGGTTTCTTAGCCCACACATTTCCTTGTATTCCACGTATCAACGGATAGTGCCCAATTATCGCCCGTAGAACCCTGTTCAATAGTGGGTCTTCTTGGGGTTTCCGAAGCCGACCTCATTTGAGCGTCTCCTTGGTGAAGTTCGTTGTTCTCCTTCTAGTTTTTGAAAAAATTGTAAATATTGGAGATTTACGGCGTCCAGTTCTGAGGTCATTTCTAAGATGTTTTCAACGTAAAAGCACGTGTGTCCATCCTAAATTCGTTTGTAGCTAAATCCTGTTCACAGCACCATATGATGTAGAGTTCACCCGAAGTCGAGCGTCCTCGTCCGGTCAAGTCACACAATATTTATATTCTCTCCTCTTCACCGTTCTTCCACCCGTGACTATTACTAGTTCGTCCCGCCTTCCCCGAGGGCCACACTACTTTACAGACAGAAAGTGAAGCAAAGAGTAACAAAGAAAGAAAAAGTACAGAAAAAATATGAGGTGTAACTAAAAAAGAAAGAACAAGCAAACAAATAATCAAAGGAACTAAAAAGTAAAGAAAACGTAAGGAAAAAACGTGAAAGAAAGAAAGAAAAGAAGAAAGAAAAAAGAAATCAAAAAGAAGAGAGAAGAAAGAAAATGAAGAAAGAAAAAGGAAAAAAGAATAAAAAAGAAAGAAAAAGAAAAAAGAAGAAAAAGAAAAGAAAAACAGAATAACACAGAAAAAAGAAGAAAGAAGAAAAGAAGAAAAAAAGAAAAAAGAGGAAAAGAGAAAGAAGACAAAAGAAGAAAGAAAGAAAAAAGGAAGAAAAAGAAAGAAAAAAGAATAACAAGAAAGAAAAAGAATAAAGAAGAAAAACAAAAACAAAGAATAGCAAAGAAAAAAGAAGAAAGAAAAAAGGGGGGAAAAGAGGAAAAAGAAAGAAGAACATGAAAGAAGACAAAAAGAAGAGAGAAGAAAGAAAAAGGAAGAGAAAGAAAGAAAAAAGAATAAAGAATAAAAAAGAAAGAAAAAGAAAAAGGAAGAAAAAGAAAAGAAAAAGTAAAATAAAGAATAACAAACAAAAAAGAAGAAAGAAGAAAGGAAGAAAAAGAAGAAAAAAGGAAAAAAGAAAGAAGAAAATGAAAGAAACAAAATAAATTCAAATGCCGTATTAAGCGTAATGTCTCAAATCTGAGCAAACCTCTGGCACCATGAAATAGATACGATACCAATTCTTTTCTAATAAACAGACATATCAATTATCATCGAGGCAATTATTGCTTAATAAAGGCGTAAAATGATCCTAGACAATTGATTCGATACCACATAAGCACATCTCGTGTCAAGCTGTGTCGAGACGTTGAGTAAAACTGACAAGCAAAAGAAAACAAATACTTCGTCTTTCTACAGCGCGCAAAGAAAGGAGGTCACGTGATTAATCCTTGTAACTGCGCTTGTTTCTATTGGTTAAAATCCGACGATTATTGTATGTTTACCAAACAATAATATTCCGATACTGTAACTTATTTTACCAACTCGAAACTTTTTACAGTAAACTTTCACTTCTACACCAAACTGCATGTTGAACAGTAGGGCAGACTGGACTCTTCAACCTTGTGTTGCAACTAGTCTAGGAGACGGGCAACTCTGATTTTAAGATGGTATATCGCCTTGGCGAAGGAAATACAATTTTTAATCATTTCGCTCACAAACAAGACAATAAAACCACTAAGACGCAAGAGTTTACTGAGTGTGAAGGAATATGGGACAAAGAAAAAGGTGAAAGAATAATAGCGAACGTGAATTAAGAATACAGAAGCTAACGATTGGCACAGCAATTAAATTTGACTGGAAACCAATAAACCGGAGAAGAGATATACAAGAGAGAAATTCGTAAGAAGACATTTTTAGCATAGAACTTACGGTTACATCTAGTTATTTCACCTGTAAAATGACGAGGAAGATGATAGGACTAGCAAACTGATGAGATGTAATGAGTTTGGTGCTTACTCTGAGGTTTCTTATGAGGCAAACGGAAATTTGCGAGATAGAAGACAGGTAATTTACAAGTTTTAGTTTAATCCTCATCATCCTTCACGTAGAACATTTCTGTTCCTTCAAGTCTCTTCTTCTTCTGTGAAGAGATTGTCCACCACCATTCACAGGAAGACAGATATCACGTGACAATTCAGTACTCCCTTTTTTTTTTGTACCGAAACAAAATTCTGCTTAGCTTTTATACTCTGCTTAGCTTTTGCAATTTACCTTTGAATAACCCAGTGGGCTTTCCTATTTCAGTGTTGCGCTTTCTCTGTTAAAACACTTCCCAGATATATTTGAATGTTTGTACTCGTTTGATTGTGGTATCCTCCAGTTGTAATATGCATGTTAGGCTCATCTTCTTGATAACAATTTATGCATTTTGTCTTTTTCGCAGTCCTTATGTAAGATTTTTTGTAGTTTGCTTTCTAATATCTGCATAGTCATCTGCGTATCTTATGTTGTTAAAACTGTGGCTGTCAGTAATAAATACAGGTATCACTTCTAATTCTCTCAGAATCGTCTCGCTTTATAAGTTGAATAAGTCCGGTGAGAAGACACATCCTTGTCTTACACTCCTTTTATTTTTATATATCTGCTGAACTTATTTTTCTATCCGACGGTTTGCTGACAGTATAGCTCCTTGATTAATCTAATATCCTTCCCAAATATGTTACGGTTACTAAGCAGCTTCGGAACACCCGGAGGAAATTGTCCGACACGGGTAATTGGCCAGTGATTCGAGGTTGCTATCCTTGATGCTATTGGAAATGCTTCTCTGTGTCTGTATGTGTTGATAGACTTACGCTGAGATATGTGTACAAGATGGAAGGTGTGAATGAGCTCTGGGGTTTATAAGAAATTTTAGGCACTTTAGGAACCCAGGAATAGTTGGAACAGATCGAACGTCAAGAAGATATTGCCGATTTGAAATGGAGAACATCACTTGAGAAGTTTCGGAATTTAAGAGCTAAGTACGTGTAAGCGCTCAACGTAAAGTATGGAACACTTTAATAGACAAATCCAATTTATAGCAGATCAATATCACTTTCCGTATATCTTAAGTCACGATTTGAAAAATTCACTGCCGCTAAAACCGAAGACTGCATAAGCAACACTAATGTTTACAAAATTATCAATTTCTTGCAATAAACTTGCTAAAGATTTTTCTCATATTTTATAATGTTTTTCTTCTCTTTTCGTTTTTCTTTTCTTTTTCTTTTTCCCTCTACGTATTTTTTCTTTTTTAATTTCTTCTTTTACCTTGGTAATTTTCTCATTTTTCTCTACTCGTTTTCTTCTTTTAAAATTACTTCTTTTTTTTTCATATTTTCTTCGCTTCGCTCTCGACACTTTTCTTCTTTTTTTACTTTCTTCTTTTTTCCTTCATATTATTCTCCCTTCTCTCGCCTCGCTTTTTACTTCCGTCTTCATTTCCTTCGTATTCTTCCTTTTTATTCTTCTTTTTCAATTTTATCTTTCTTCTTTTTCAATTTCTTCTTTTACACTCGTATTCTCGTCTCTCGCCCCTCACTTTTTCTTCTTTTTTTTTTTTCATGTCTTCTTTTGCCTTCCTTTTCTTCACAATTCTCTCTCATCGTTTTTTCCACTACTTACTTCTTTTACAATGTGTTGTTTTTGCATCGTATTCTTCTGGCTTCTCTCTCTTCACTCTTAACTTTTCATTTTTCTTTTTCAATGTATTTTTTCTTCCTATTCTTCTTAATTGTCCATTTTTTTTGTTCTTGTTTCTTCTTTTCCAATTACTTTTTCCTTCATATTCTTTTCCTTTCTCTCACCTCGCTTTTTTTGTTGACTATTCTTTTTTTAATGCCTTCATTTTCTTTTTTATTATTCTTCTCCCTTTTCTCATTCTTATTTTCAATTTTTTTCTTTTTCCTTTATATTCTTCTCGCTTCTAGTTCCTCGTATATTTCTTCTTTCTTTTCCAATTTCTCCTTTTTTTCTTCGTATTTTTATCTCTTCTCTATACTCGCTTTTTTCTTCTTCTTTTCCAGTTTTTTTTTCTTTTTCATTCGTCTTCTTCTTCCTTCTCTGTTCTCAATGTTTTGTTCTTTTTTTCCAATTTCTTTTTTTTTTCCTTCGTATTTTTATCCCTTCTCTCTCCTAGCATTTTTCTTCTTCTTTTCCAATTTCTTCATTTTCCTTCACATTCTTCTAGCTTCCCTCCTCGCATTTTTCTTCTTATTTTCATTTTTTTTTCTTTTCCTGCGTATTCTCCTCCATTCTCCATTCTCACATCTCGCTTTTTCTTATTTTTTTCAAATTTCTGCTTTTTTCCTTTGTGTTCCTTTCTCTCGCATTTTTTTTTCTTCTTTACCAATTTCTTTTTCTTCGTATTCTTCTTCCTTTTCTCTTCTCTTTTTTTGTCTTCTTCTTTTCCAATTTTTTTTTTCCTTCATATTCTTTTCCTTTCTCTCTTCTCGCTTTTATCTTCTTTTTTTCCCATTTTTTTTTCTTTCGTATTTTTATCCCTTATCTCTCCTCACATTTTTTCTTCTTTTCAAATTTCTTCTTTCTACTTTGTATTTTTCTTCCTTCTATCTTCTCACTTTTTTCTTCTTCTTTTCAAATTTCTTCTTTTTCTTTTTCTTTTCTTCTCGCTTCTCTCCCCTCGTATTTTTCTTCTTCTTTTCCAATTTCTTTTTTTTTCCTTCGTCTTATTCATTCTCTTTTCTCGCTTTTTCTACTTCTTTTCCAATTACTTCTTTTCCCTTCGTAACCTTCTCGCTTCTCTCTCCTGGCATTTTTCTCCCTTTTTTTCCAGTTTCTTCTTTTTCATTCGTATTTTTCTCCCTTCTCTCTCTTTGGATGTTTCTTTTGCGTTTGATTTATTTATTCTTTTTCAGTTGGATCTCTTTTGCCTTTTCTTTCGTAATCTTTCTACTTGCTTTTCGCGACAGTTTGTTCTTTTCTTTCTTTTTCTTCTTCTTCTTCTTCTTCTTGTAAATTTCTTTTTTTTTATTTAACCGTCATATTCTTCTTCTAGCTTTTCACTCGTTGTGAATTAAAGAGAGAGTGATAGAGAGAGAGAGAGAGAGAAGAGGAACGGAGAGAGACAGTAATTATCTGAATTAGAGAGACACAGTAATTACCTGAATTAGAGAGAGAGACACATAGGGAAAGAGCTAAAGAGAAGAGAGAAGAGAGACATAGGGTGAAAAAGAAAGTAGAGCAGAGAGACATTAATGACGTGAATTAAAGAGAGAGATAGGGAGAGAGAGAGAAGAAGAAGAAAAAAGGAGAAAGATAGTAATTAGCTGTATTAGAGAGAGGCACATGGAAAAAGATCGAAAGAGAAGTGAAAAACGGGGGTGAAAAGAGAGGAGAGAGAGACAGTAAGGATGTGAATTAAAGAGAGAGAGAGAAGAGGAAAAGAGAGAAACAGTAATTAGCTGAATTAGAGACACGTGGAGAAACTGCGAGAGAAAAGAGAGAAAGCGAGATAAAGTGAAAGAGAGCGAGAGAGAGAGACATAAGGAGCGAGAAAAGAGGAATTGAGAGCGAAAAAGAGAGAGTAATTAGGTGATTTAAAGAAACATAAAGAGAGAGAAAGTGAGTAGAGGAATTGAGAGATTTTTTTCTTTTTCTCCCTCACTCCCAT